TATATATTACTTAATCATAGTATAAAGTAATACCTAAACTCGTTTAGTTTGTCAAAACAATAACCATCTTTCTTAATGGATAAATATCCGTTTTGTTTTTTTTGAAAATTATTGATGGATAAATAGCAAGAAAATATTTTCAGATAATGCTTTTGGATTGAGGATTTTCTTTCACTTTCTTGCCCCACCATAAAGTGCCAAAGGTTTCCGAGCTTGTTTGTATGAACCATGAACTTGAAAAAGCAGAGGGCGGCACGCAAAAGGATTGCTAAAGACAAGAACATGCCCATGCCCACGTGAGCTTTGGACCCCCCTCCCACCCCCTCCACCCCCCCCATCCAATCCTTTTGCCATTCAAGGCAAGTTTAAAACTCATATGGTAGATGATCAAATTGACCCATATATTGCATTATTTTATATCAATTAATTGTCTTTAACTTCTTATTAAAATCAACAATTGATTAAATTGAAGATGAGTTGCCTTGTCTTTTTTTTTTCCCTATAATGTTGCCAAACTTAAAATGAACATCAAGATTATGCTTTCATGTTGTGTAATTATTTGGGAGATTTCTATTAAAGATATAATTTCTTTTCATTTTGGTTAAAAATTTTTTTTTATGGAATTTCATTGATTAGAAACATACAAGGGAGTTGTATTAATGTATTACAACTCAAATTTTAATAAGTTTACACAACACTCATTCTCCAAGGAGGTGAATGATATTAGACTTTTGAGTTGCTAACCCATCATTTTTCTTTTACTAAAAACGTAATTTAGGGATGAGAAAAAAATTGTAAATTTTGATATTTAAAATTTAAATTTATTAGATGTTATTTTTTAAGGATAACTAATAAACTAATTAAGTTAAATTTCAAATTTCAATAACTCTAATTGTTTATATCTAAATATTTATAACAATTTTTTTTACTATTTATATCAATGTTCATGATTTTTTTTTGTAAAAACTCTCTTTTATCTCATAAATATATTTTTTTCATCGTAAATTTGAAATTAAGATTTTTAAAATATATATAATTAAGTTTTGTTCAATTTTTTCTTTTTTTTGTTTTTTTAGTTATTAATTCGATGTCTGATTCAAATATAATATATAAATTTAATATTTAAATTTAATTCAAACTGAATAAAAAAATTGATCCAAATTAAATCGAACATTATGATTTTGAATTAATTTTTATTTTTAACTTTTTTCTTACCCCTAATATCAATAATACAAATAAATCATAGACAGTAATTCTCAAATTAAAGCCAAACAAATTTGGTACCAATCTTATTATGAGTTAATTACTTTTTTTTTAACTATTAATCAAGCTATGATATTGAGTTTGAACTTTGGAGTTTATGATGGGAATTCACTACTGGGGAAAGAGCGATGCTTTGCACCAATTGGGGTTGGACAAGAATTGTGGAAGATGGAATTTATTTTGCGTCACTTGGAAAGTTGGAAGGGCTTTCAATTTTTATTTATTTTTTATTTTTAGATTCGGTCTTAAGCATGTAATGATGTAAATTCTTATTCATTTTACAACTTATCCACCCTTATCTCTTCCCTCCTCCATCATTTTCTTTTAATTTTTCAGCTTTTTTTCCTTTTAGTATTTTTATTTTTAACCAAAACTAAAATATTTTGTACTTAAACATTTGATTAAGTTACACCAAAAATTTCTCTTCAACGATATTAATAAAAAACCCATCTTAAAAAATAATATATATTTCGTATTTAAATTTTAATATCCGAAATTATTTTATATTCTCAAATTATAATTTTTGTGTATAAAAATAATCAACAAATTTCATTGGTTGGATTCGGATGGGTTTGTGAGAAAATGGTAATTAATTATTGCTATAATTGGTTATGGGTCTATGTCAGTATACAAAGTCCATATTCCAACTATCGGTGGTTGAAAATAGAAATCCATAATTATGGTTATCAAATTTTCCAATACGGTTCCTTAAGGCCCACATGTTATTCATGGCTTTTTTTTTTATTTTTTTATTTATAAAAGATTTGACTGCTTGAGTTTGACTACATCAACTCATGATCTGACCCATCACGTTTTCCAAGATTAATATTTTTCCATAAAAAATATCATTATTCTCAATAAATTTCTTACCCTTATCGTTTTTCTTTTTCCAAACAAAAGAAAATGCTAAACATGAATTGAAAATACAAGATAAATAGAAAAAATAAAAACACAAATTAAACAGAGCCGTAGCAAGTGATAAATATGCTTTTGAGAGTGTTTCATATATTAAGAAAAATAATTTAAACATGTTATTTATTTTTATTCAATTTTAAAAGGAATACACGTTAAATGGAAAAAAAAAATTATTCATCTAAACTAGGGATGTAAAAATCAATATGCGCAAAGTTCAAGATCTAGCTTGATCATAATTCTTGAAGCTTGGAGTTTATTTATTTATTATTTAAGTTTGGCTCAAAAAAATAATAATATAACTATTCAAATTTGACATGATTTGATTCAATTTAATTATCATTGATTTAAAAAAAAATTTTAATACTTAACTTGGATTTGAATTTTAGTTTTAACTTGAATTTTGTATATTTGTAGTAAATAAACATATATGCATTTTATAGTTATTTAAATATTTATTACCTTTATTGTACTTACAAAATTGCTCAAAATTTAATATTAAAATATATTTTTTTATATTTAAAATTATTAAAATTTAAAATTAATTACTAAAATAAAAAATATAACATTCTATTAACAATACTACTTATTGTTTAAATTACTTATTAATTAATGAATTGAGCTCAAGTATTCAGCAAATAAAACTTACAATTGTAAATGAAACCTAGACTGGGCCTGACCTGTGACCCCTCCCCGGGAATTGGGCTGCCAGATTTGAGTATTCTTTATGGTGCTGTGGGCTCAACTTCAAGGGCTTTTTATGGGTTTTTTTTTTTTTGCTCTTATTTTCTTATTTGTTATTAGTATTTCATTTTATGTCATGACATTTAATCATTTTAGTATTTGATAATATTATATTTAAAATTTGTAATAAATAACATATTTATTCTTAAAAATTATCTTGTTTGTGGTTGTTGATAAACTGAAATGAGACCTGAAGTGTGGATATTTTGTGGTTTTAAAATGATTTTAAAAAGAAAGGAGTTTTGGAAGTAGAAATACAGTAATATTTTCTTGTGGAGATATGATATTTGAATCCCTATCTATCTAAATATTAGAGTGAATTCAAATAATTTTTTTTTTTTTGCATTAAGAACATTATCTCAAAATAAAATTTCATATGAATTTTTTAAGCAAAAAATCAAAATTTTTTTTTTAATTCTACCTAAACATTAGAGAGTTAAAAAAATTAAATAAATAAAAATAAATATTTTTAATCCCAAAAATGCTATTTTTGTCTTAAATAAAATCAAATTGTTAGAAAAATATAATAATATGCATCATTTAATTTATAATCATATTGTCATATATACATTTCATGTATTAATAATAAATGTGAAATAATAAAGTAGTAATTTCAAAAGTTCTTATGAACAATAGAATAATATTTTTTAAAAAATAATTTTTAAGATCCTACTTAAATATTTGAGGGAATTCAAATCATTTTTTTCTAAGGAATATCATTCTTATTTTTTACCAAAACTTAATTATAAGAATTTCTTAAGTGAATGATTGATTTTATTAAATTTGGCCTAAATATTGAAGAATTAAAAAAAATTTTCAATGCAAAATAAAATAATAATAAATAAAAAAATGGATAAAGATAAAAAAAAGGATAAAATTAAAGATTAATAAAAAGAATTAAATTGGTCATTTATATCTTTTAATTTATATTTGTACCACTTGTTTGCATCATGTTACATTGTTTGTATTTTATTATTGTTCAAAGAAATATGAAGTAATAAATAGCGATTTTGAAAATGGGTTCCTTTATAAATAAAAACTCGTTATAAGTAAAAATAATTTTTGATATTTTATTTAAATATTAGAGAATTTTTTAATAATTATTATTTATAAAAAAATTATTATGATAAAATTTAAGGATTATTTTGAGAGTCTCATAAATGTGTTTTTTTTGAAATTTCATCCAAATATTAAAAATTTTAGGAAAAGTTTTGAAGCTAGAGCTTTCATTTTATTTATAAACAATTTTTTTTTTTTTAAGAAAAAGACTTTGCAAAAATAGATGGAATCAAAGGAATTATTTTAAATAATTAAGATTAAGATTATTTTTATTAATACTAGAAGATAATATGTGATTAATTGATACTTTTTTAATGATTGCTGTAGGTGTTAATATTTCTTCATATGTAATCACACCATTGAATCCAAATTTATTTTTGTAGACCAAATGAAAAATTATATTTTTAATAAAATTTAATTAATTTAAAAATTTTATTAAAAAATAAGTTTTTTTATGTGGTTAATCACATATAGTCAAAAAAATTAATGATGACTCTCCTGTATTTGAAAATTTTAAAATTTTCGTCTAATAATCTCTAAAATAGTTATGATTATATAGTTATTGAAGTTTTACATGATTTGAATCAATTTAATTATCATTGATTTAAAAAAATTTATAGTTATTTAAAATTTTATAACTTTTATTATACTTACAAATTTGCTCAAGTTTAATATTAAAATATTATTTTTTAATTTAAAAATGTTGATATTTGAATTTAATTATTGAAATTAAAAATTTAATACTTTATAAAAAAATCAGATGATTGTTGATAATATTACTTACTATTTAAATTACTCTTTAATTAATTAATTGAGCTCCAATATTCACCAAATTAATTGAGTTAAACTCAATTTACGCTTCTAAATTCTAATCCAATTTTTTTTTCTTTTTGGGGTGTTAATTTTTGAAACCTAAATTCGGCCTGTTGAGTTATTACTCAGTAGGCCCAGCCCATACATCCAACCCAGTTTGTCATATATAACAGTGATTAAATCACGAGATTTATCCATTATATCAAAGGACAGAATTGACAGACCACCCTCTCCCCTGCTTACGCTTTTACCTGAACCTAACCTCACCTCCTCCAACTCTCCAGGCTTCCCAACCAACACAGCGAAGCAAACAGATGAATAGTTGAGTTTGTTCAACAAAACTCGACCCCAGAAATGGCAAGTCCCACAGTCTCCTTCCTCCTCATCATCATTACCACCGTCCTTTTGCCATCCCCTTCATCATCCCTAACATCACAACCGTCCAATTTCTTTCCTTCCAATAAACCCCCGCGCTTCCTCGGCAAACACTCACACCCAATCAAAACCAACCACCAACAATACCGTTATGAAACCAGGTACTTCTTTCAACCACTGGATCACTTCAGCTTCTCCGATCTTCCGAGGTTCCGGCAACGCTACCTTATCAACACCGACCACTGGGTGGGCCCATCTCGTCTCGGCCCAATCTTCCTCTACTGCGGCAACGAAGGTGATATCGAATGGTTCGCCGTCAACACCGGTTTTGTCTGGGAGATCGCCTCTCGCTTCGGTGCCATGGTTCTCTTTCCAGAGGTACATTACCCAAATTCTAAATTTCGTGTTTTTTGGGCTCTGTTTGGTTGAAAATAATTAAATGTAATTGTAATGGAATTGGCAGCATCGGTATTATGGGGAGTCAATGCCGTATGGAAGTAGAGAAGAGGCTTATAAAAATGCCACTACTCTTTCTCATCTCACAACAGAGCAAGCGCTTGCGGATTTCGCAGTTTTGATTACTGATTTGAAGAGGAATTTTTCTGCTGAAGGGTGTCCAGTTGTTTTATTTGGCGGCTCCTACGGAGGAAGTAAGCCCATGAATTTTTTTTTTTTAAAGAACTATTTAATTTGGTTTTTCGGGTGTTTATGAAATGATGTTTTTGATATAGAAGTTGTAGAATTTCATTAGTGGAAAGTGTTTCATTATGTAAGTGGTTTGGTAATGTTTCATTATGTAAGTGGTTTTTGGTAATGTGGTTGATGTTTATGGCATTAATGCAAACAGTGTTAGCGGCATGGATGAGGCTGAAGTATCCTCACATTGCTGTTGGGGCGCTTGCTTCATCAGCACCAATTCTTCAGTTTGAAGATATTGTGCCACCAGAAACATTTTATAATATCGTCTCCAACTCATTCAAGGTTTACAATGATGTTTCGAAGTTAGTTTTGTCTTTGTTTTTGTTTGTTTGTAGTGAAGTCTCTATTTTAACACTGTCACTTTTTTTGGTTTCAATATGTGTAGCGGGAAAGCAGTAGCTGCTTTGACACTATAAAACAGTCGTGGAATGCACTGACATCTGAGGGTCAGGGAAAGGATGGCCTTCAGCAACTGTCAAAAACTTTTCGCTTGTGTCGGTGAGGACAATGGAAGAAATTTTTATATGTGCATGTTGCTGTAATAGATTATAGCATGATTCAACGGGGGCATATGTATCTTTTTAATGATATAGTTTTAAACTCTTGGCAGGGAACTTAAGAGTGTCCAAGACCTTACAAACTGGTTGGATTCTGCTTATAGTTATTTGGGGATGGTTAATTACCCATATTCTTCAAACTTTTTAATGCCTTTACCTGGACACCCCATAAGAGAGGTTAGTTGGGATTGGTATGACTTCAAACATATGTCATGGCTGGCAATAAAACATGTATACATAAATATATGCAAGATGGATTTCTGCATATTTTGTGACAAACCTACTTCTGGAACTACTCTGCCATCAACCTTTTATGATTCTATATTGTCTTTGTTCTATGACATTGATGTGGTTTACATTGACCAGAGCATTAATTTAGGGCAACCTTTTGTGAAATAAAAACTAGCAAACAAATCAATTAAGGCTGACTTATAACTGTTGACTTGCATATGCTATTATTTTGCGGTCTGTTAATTTGCATCTTTGTTTGTGTGCTATTCAGAATAGCTTCAAGAAAGGGCACATTAATGTTGCTGGGGTTCACATCAATTATAACTAATTTATACTGCAATTCTATCATACTTGAATATTTATAATCGTAATGTCAGCTCTAATATGGAGCCAACTTGGAACTTATTCTCATAGGTGACTTTGATTTCATAACTGTATATAAATTAATTTGAGGTGATAGGAACATATTAAAGACAATGTAGTTAATTGTATTTCACTAACAATGTAGTATAAGTTTCACTTGCTTCAGCTGCTGCCATTAATTAGGAATATTTCTGCTTCATTGCAGTCCATTTTCTCACTACCAATCATGTAAAAATCTTGATTTTAAGGGTTAATCCTTAAAAAATTTGATCTGGATTTGTTTTTATTAAAAATTTTCGTATTTTTATGGTGAGAATGCCTCTTTCTTTTTCGGTTTCACTCATAATGGAACTCTTAGACATGTATGCTTTATGAACTCTTATTGCTAATATTTTCTTTCTTGGTGTTATTGCAATTTGCATATTATTGCTATTATTTTGGACCTTGGTTTTCTTGTTTATACTTGGCTGTTGACTCCCATCTTGTTTTAAATAGATGTAATTATATTGTAGGTATGCAGAAAGATTGATGGTTCTCCTGATGGGTCTAGCATTCTGGATCGTATATTTAATGGTGTAAGCATCTACTATAATTATACTGGAGATGTTGACTGTTTTCAACTTGACGATGATCCTCATGGCATGAATGGGTGGAACTGGCAGGTCTTGGATGATATTAACTTTTACATCTATATCAGTTTTATAAATCTCCAGAGCATTTATCGTTATGCATCAATGCTGTTTGTTATTGTCATCTGGTTATTGCTACAGGCGTGCACTGAGATGGTTATGCCAATGTCTAGTGATAGAAATACAAGCATGTATCCAGCATATGATTGGGATTACTCTGCTTTCGGAGAAAAGTGCAGGAGGGATTTCCAGGTGACACCAAGGCCTAGATGGATAACAACTGAATTTGGTGGACATGTAAGAGAATGATATGAAACTAAATGTTGGTTAGGTCCTTAAATTCTTGTGTTTTATCTTGCAGAACTTTAAATGAATGATAATATGTTGATATGAAGAATAATGAATAAGCCTTTGTTGTTATATGAAGGATATTGAGCATGTATTGAAATTCTTTGGAAGCAACATCATATTCTCTAATGGTCTATTGGATCCTTGGAGTGGTGGCAGGTGAGCTCCTTATATTGATTTTTATCAAAGTTTTGATCATCTAGTTTCTGATGAATGTTGATATTATTCTTTGCAGTGTTCTGAAGAATATATCTGAAACAATTGTTGCTCTTGTTATGGAAGAAGGTAATGCTTTCTGAAGTGACCTTTTACTTCATTGCTTGATGAGGTAATAAATTTGGATATAATATAAGGATCTCAAACTATCTACATGATTTATCTAGCTAATTAGCTGATATCTTGATGAATAAGAGTTGGTCGCTAATTGGCTCACTTTAAGTATTTTGTTTCTCATCTCTGCTTCAATTGGGGCTCTACATATATCACTTTGCCTATAGCTGTAGTTCAGACCTGACTTCTTTTTGGCTTTTTGTCTTTGTCCTCATTGATCCTTTGGCTTCAATATAAATTATATCTCTAATTACAGCATTATCCTAAGATTTTTCACTTGTAAGTATATCTTCAGTTATTGCTGCTTCTAACGTCCATCGATGCAATTGGTTTTAGTTTTTAATCAGTTTTATAATGTGTCAATCTTAATGTCTTTAGTTTTTAAATCAATTTTATAATGTGTTAGTCTTAATGTCTTAATTTGAGAGGCAACAAGTCTAGCAACTGTTAGAGCGGATCATACTCAGAATCTTATACATTTTTAGCTAGCTTTCTCTTTCGTTTTATATAACAACTAAGCCAACCAACCCATGAACACACAATGGCAACCTAAATTTATGAATTTATGATCCTCAATTGCTTTTGTCTCTGTGCTGTGTTCCGTGGTGGATACCCAAATATTATATCTTCCTGTCTAACAACTATAATCATGGAGTAATTATTACAAAACCTGAATATGATAGTATAACTAAATCTTATAAGATCTAAGAATAGTTTATTAAGCAATACCCATCTGATAGATTTCCCACATTATCCCCATTTCTAAATTTTTATGAGTATGTTTTTACATAATGTCAGCGAAGGTTCAAACTCCTATTTTAAGTTTTATATTTACGTGACTTCAATGTTAATTCATTGATGCTCACTTATAAGCCTTAGAAGATTGATTTTGAGGCTAGAACTTGTTTAAAGGACATGATTTAGCATTAGTTATCTGCTAGCTGATGGATTATGAATTATTATAGCTCATGACAGAACACTTTGCAATGCTGTTAATATTACAATTGGAGAAGGCCAGTACATGTAGAAGGCAGTTAGCGTTATTAACTGATGAAGTGTTATTGTAACTAATTAACTCCACTGCATCCAGGCATTATTCAAGTATTCTAACAGTTTTTATTTATGCAAAATTTTAGGTGCACATCACATAGATTTGCGTGCTTCAACGACTGAGGACCCTGACTGGTTAGTGGAACAGAGGGCAACTGAGATCAAGCTGATTGAAGGTTGGTTGGATACTTACAGTAAGAAAATGCAAGCAACCTTCACAATGTAGATGCTTCAACGACCGACGACCCTGACTGGTTAGTTAGTGGAACAGAGGGCAAATGAGATCAAGGTTGGCTGGATGCCTACCGTAAGAAAATGCAAGCAACCTTCAAAGTGTAGATGCGAAAGATTTTTGGAGCTTGGACGTAAATGTAAACGTGTATAAATAGCTTCCAAGTCTAACTCCTGCTTCTGCCCATCTTTTCAATCTGGGATTGCCAAATAAACTACTACTTACATTTACTTTTCTTACTTCTCCCCTCCCACCTCTCTCCTGTAGGCTAACCCCTTTTTTCTTTTCGCGTTAACACAAAAAAGGTTTATTTTCGAGTTCACTGCAGCTTAAATCCCAGGTAACCTCACTCAAGCAATAATGTGCACGCATGGGATGAACACTGAACCTTTGTCAGGGCGATGAAATGTATGTTTATCACATTGATGGCCTCTTTAACATGCATTCTTCCTTAAATTCTTGTTCGAAATTGACTTTGAAAAGGTTAGGACGGAATTTTGAGTATTAGAAAGCGTTGGCCCAAGATTTTTTTTCCTTAGAACTTGCTAGTCCATCAATGATTGAATAAGCAAAGATGGTTTCCCTTGTGGTGTCTGAATGGACAAGTATTCTTTTTGATTCCATATAATAATGCCAGAAGGATTGAATTTGCTGAGAAGATACTGTATTTGCAGCAATAGCAATGAACAGGTCATTGACATTATTTCTGATACTATAATTTTACATTAATTTCGGATATTAAATTGAAGCAGAAGGCCAACATGAAAATTAATTAATTAATTAAACATAAATTAATGTACAAAATCCCAATGGTGGAGACACACGTGCAAGTACAACCAATCCAAAACAGCATATTTCCAACGAATTCCAGCCTTTAATTTTAACTTAAAAAAAGAAAACTCTAGCTGACGTGGAAAGTTGACTGTCACAATTTACTCTTTTACTCTTCGGTCTATTCCCGTTTAAAATTTCAATTTTCCGTCCTTTCCTCATAAAATGGCGGCCTAAATTGGCAATACGACATCGTTTGTGAATCACCCGCGATAAAAACTATGAAGTTCTTTTTTCTTGGCGACTTCAACTCTATAGACCAAAACCCGACTCAGCTGTGTGCCGGTAACTCAGTACTTTGATTCTCTCTCTTTTTTCACCGAAGAAAGAAAAAGAGAAATATCGTACGGAAGTCTAGGGTTTTGCCGACGGTGATCGACTTGTAAGATGACGAGTCCGGTAACGCCGGGTACTAGTAGGGCGTTGTCGATAACGCCGAGGTCTAGGGTTTTGAAGACTCCTCTTAGTGATGAAACGATCTGGAAACGACTCAAGGAAGCTGGATTCGATGAGGAATCGATCAAGAAGAGAGATAAAGCTGCTCTTATTGCTTATATTGCTAAGCTTGAAGCTGAGGTTTGCTTCAAATCTTTAAACTGCTTTTCTCAGATTTTTTTCATGCTTTTCTTTGCCCTTTTTTTTAAAGTCTTTGTTTGGTTGTTGGTGCAATAGGTAAAAGACAGAGTATTAGTATATTGAAAATTTAAACTGTGAATTGTAAAGATTGCAACAAAAGAAAAGACAAGATCAATTCTCTTTTTCTTTGTACGGCGTTTTAAAAATTAAAAAGAAAAAATATATAAAAAAGGTAGGTAATGGAAGTAATTATTAACAGATTTTAACATAAGACGGTAATGGTTTCGGTCTTTGGAAATATTTTGTCTGTTGTATATAGAATTATTTTTAATATTTGTGATTATGTGATTTATGATGTCAATTTTCAATGTCAAGCCACCAAATTAAGTCTTCAACCATCACTTTTGGTTAAATGTTCTGTATTTCACTTAAATGCCATTCTAGTTGCACAATATGTGTTTTCCTTGTATGAGCTTTGATGGAACAAACTTGTCTTTTTTTGGCCTCATTATCTGTTTGCACTATATGTTTGGGGTGTTGCTTCCCCTTTTGGTATCCTTCAAGTTGTTGACGTTGTGGACTTGTAAATGGCACCATTGAGTTGTTAACTTTGTAGGTTTATAAGAGCTTTTAGCAGAATTTATGCTTTGTTTTGTGGCTTCTATGATTTTTTTTCTTTGTTTTTAGATGGATTTTCTCGGTTTCTGTGCCATTATTTGGGGATTGAATGCTATTTATGTGTATATTTTTTCTTCTGAGTTTTTCACTTGTTAGTTCCAATGGACGGCGTTTTCTAGAGAGGTTATCTTTACCTAGCTTGATGCATGAATGAAACTTGAATGAATGCATTGTGTAAAGGATAAGAGTGAGGAATGATGGCAGTCTTGGTTTAGCATATGATGATCTATGCCTCATTCACATGTTGCTCATAAGTTCATGTTTTAAATCGTCATTCATTTTCTGCTTCATTACACATAACTGACTAGCATTTTGTTTTAATATTTATTTATTCTTGTGCGCAGCTCTTTGACCACCAACACCAGATGGGCCTTCTTATATTGGAAAGAAAGGAGTTGGCTCCCAAGTATGAACAAATTAAAGCCTCTGCTGAAGCAAGTGATATAATGCATAAACGGGATATGGCTGCACGTGTATCTGCTCTTGCAGAAGCTAAAAAGCGAGAGGATAGTTTGAAAAAAGCTTTGGGAGTCGAGAAAGAATGCATAGCAAGTGTATGATTGTCATTTAAAATCTCTTTTTAATTGTAGTTTTTTTTTCCCACTTTTCTTTCACCATTATATGTTTCTTAGGACTTTGTGGTGGGGTTTTGTAGATTGAGAAGGCTTTGCATGAGATGCGTGCAGAATCTGCTGAAGCCAAGGTTGCAGCTGAAAGTGGACTAGCTGAAGCGCGTATTATGATAGAGGATGCTCAGAAGAAGTTTGCAGAGGCTGAGGCAAAGTTTCAGGCTGCAAAGTCTTTACAAACAGAAGCTAGCCTCCTTCAACGGTCTGCTAAGAGAAAGCTTCAAGAAGTTGAAGCACGTGAAGATGACCTTAATAGGCGTATTGTATTGTTCAAAAACGAGTATGTCATATGCATTGTGTTTTCCTTATTTATATTGTTTGTACCATTGTTTTCTTTTTTAATTATTTCTCTCTTTTTCCTATCAGTTTGCAGTTTTTGGACATGCTCTTATTTCCCAAGAGGAAATGCTTGTGCCTGTCTCTCTGTATTCATATGATGTAGTCTTCATATTACTGGGTTGCAATATGAATTAGGTCTTGCATTGCAAAATTTCTATAACCTGTAACCTGATAGCCTGTTAATCTATTTTAAATGTTTTTCTGAGACATACATGGTTAAATTGTCTGTTGCTGAAAGTGAATAATTGAAAGTAATTGGCTTGGCCAGGGTAGTAGTATGTGGATACTGGATACACATGCTTGCTTGGCTGCATTTCTGCTGTTTGCTGATGATAATATAATTCATATAATACTTTTTACCATGATGTCATATAGTGCAATCATGAGTCTCTAAATTTCATTTAAAATTTCAGTTCAAGGAGTCTGTTAATTATTTGGTTTCATGTTTTAGTTGTGATGCAAAAGAGAAAGAGATCATTCTTGAACGGCAATTACTGAGTGAGAGGCAGAGGATTGTACAACAAGAACATGAAAGACTACTAGATGGACAAGCTTCCTTGAATCAGAGAGAGGAGTATATTTTTAGTGGAACTCAAGAACTAAATCGACTTGAGAAGGAGTTGGAAGCTTCAAGAGTGGATATTGAAAAGGAGCGCAGAGGTTTGAAGGATGAGAAATCTAACCTTGAGTTGACTTTAGCTTCTCTGTCAAAAAGAGAGGAGGTTTGCACAATTCATTTGCCCATTACTGTTCTGATTTGGATGCATTTTCATGTGAATTTGTTGCTTTTACCGTACAGAAAGTTGTATTAATTCAATTCCTCTTTTGTGCATCCAGGCTGTTATTGAACGAGAAGCTAAGCTTAGCAAGAAAGAGCAACAACTGCTCGTTTCTCAAGAGAAACTTGCAAACAAGGAATCTGTGAGTTACTTTGTTGAACATGCTTTAGGATTTTCAGCTTTGTTTCTCTTTCTTTTATGGAAAATTTATTCTTTTCAATGAATGATGTAGGATGAAATTCGCAAGGTCATTGCTAGTCATGAAACTGAATTGAGAACCAGAAAATCTGAGTTTGAGGCTGAGCTTGAGATCAAGCGCAAAATTGCAGAGGATGAGATTGAAATGAAGAGACGGGCTTGGGAGTTGAAGGAGATGGATATCAATCTTAGGGAGGACCAAATTTGTGAAAGAGAACATGATTTTGAGGTTCAATCAAGGATGTTAGCCGATAAAGAGAAGGATGTGGCTGAGAAGTCAAATCTCATAGATGTGAGAGAAAAAAATGTGAGTGCTTCTGAAAAGGAACTTGAGTTGAAGCAAGCTCTTTTAGAAGAAGAAAAGGATAAGATAAGTAAAATAAAACTAGAGCTTCAGAAGTCATTGTCTTCATTGGAAGATAAGAGAAACCAAGTTGATTGTGTGAAGGAGAAACTGGAAGCCATGAGAAGTGAGACACATGAATTATCAACCTTGGAATTAAAACTCAAGGAAGAACTTGATTTGGTTAGGGCTCAAAAATTGGAGCTCATGGCTGATGCAGATAGATTGCAAGTAGAGAAGGCAAAATTTGAAACTGAGTGGGAGTTGATTGATGAGAAAAGAGAAGAGCTGCGGAAGGAAGCAGTGCGTGTTAGTGAGGAGAGAGAAGCAGTTTTGAAGTTTCTCAAGGATGAGCGTGATAGCTTGAGAAGAGAGCGCGATGTGATGCGAGAGCAGCATAACAAGGAAGTTGAATCATTGAATCGTGAGAGAGAAGACTTCATGAAAAAGATGGTGATTGAGCATTCTGATTGGTTCAACAAGATTCAACAGGAGCGTGCTGATTTCTTGCTGGGAATTGAAACCCAAAAGAGGGAGCTGGAGAACTGCATTGAGAAAAGGCGTGAAGAATTAGAAAGTTCTTTGAAGGAAAGAGAGGAAGCTTTTGAGCGAGAAAAGAAAAATCAACTTCAGCATATTAATGCTCTGAAGGAAAGAGCAGAGAAAGAGTTGGAACAAGCTACTTTAGAAATGAAAAGGCTTGATGCTGAGAGAATAGAGATCCAGTTGGATCGTGAGCGAAGGGAAAGGGAATGGGCGGAGTTGAACAAGTCCATTGAGGAGCTTAAGGTGCAAAGGCACAAATTGAAGCAACAGAGGGAACTATTGCATGCTGATAGAAAAGAGATACATGCTGAGATCGAAGAGCTAAAAAGGTTGGGGGACTTGAAAGCTGCCGTGGATAATATGACAGTGGCTCAAATGCAACGTTCTATTGTAGAGCGTAGCTGGAAGAAAGCATCTGAAAGAAAGAATCTGAAACAGCTAACTGTCATGCAAAATGCTGGATCAGATTCAGATAAAAATAGGATTGTTGCTGACAATGTCAATGGATTCAGCTCTCCAATGTCAAAACCAGATAGTGCTTCTCCTCCTAGCTCTGCCCCTTTTTCTTGGATCAAGCGCTGCAGCGAATTGATATTCAAACATACCCCTGACAAGGCCCAAATGAAGCCTGAAGAAAGATCTTTGATATCTGACCATGGAGATGTGTGTTTGATGTCAGTTGGAGAGTTGGTTTCAAACGATGGGTGTGACAGGCAAAAATACAAGCGACATGAGAGAAAGCCTTTGGGATTTGATGGGGAACCAAAAGTGATAGTGGAAGTGCACTCTGAAGATCAGGTGGTCAAGGGAATTCACAATTTGGAATCCGAAATTGAGAAAAATGATGCTGAAAAGTCTTCTCTTGTTTCTGAACAAGGGGTTCAAGCTGGAAGGAAAAGAAGAGTTGACAACTTACCTTCACATGGCACTAAGAAAAGAAGGCAAAAGAAAGATGCTTCTGTAATTGAAGAAGAGGATAATACTCACAGGTATCCACTTCTGTCCTTATATTGAAATTTTTTGCTTTTAGCATGTTATTTAACCTTATACTGATATTCTGATTATTTCTTGATGCACGTAGCTCAGTTTTGTTTACAATAACATCTTTTTTTTTTTTTTTTTTCAGTGTAAATATAACTGATCTAAATGCATCACTGGATCAGTGTGCATTAATGTCATACAGTCAGAGTCAAGGAGGGGCTGATGAGACCAATGTGCCGATCGTTGATAAAATAATTAAGATTTCAGAAGTAACCTATGAAAAAAAGACTGTGGATGATGATTCTTCGAATTTAGAAAATATGGATATTGTTGCAGAATCAGTGCAGGATGTTCCTCAAAGTGGAGGAATGTGTAGTCATGCAAGTGCTGCCGGGGAGAATGGTGGATCTGGGGAACCAGTAACATTGCAAGAAGCACATTTGGGGAATGTTTCTCAAGCCACCAAGCCCTGTCAGGTAAGGGCTGGTTGTACCTATCTGCAAATTCCTTTTCTTGCATGCAGATGACTATCAACATTTTACTAGGCTCTTATTTGCATTGTGAATTCTTTGCCTTCTCTTGCTGATGTTGTATTCGGGGTACTAGCATGTTAATAAATTTTCTCATAATACATTCAACTTGTCATCAGGTATTTATACAACTTCATCAAGTAGGAAGCGTTCTTTGGCATTTTAGTCAGAGCAAAATCGCCTGTCTTATTACTGTTTATTTTTTTCTAATCTGATATGCCTCTTAACTTAGATTACCTTTTCAGTCTTTGTTTTATATCCTTAAGGTTCATGCAATTTTTGATTCTATAGCCAATGGAAGACATGTCAGAAAGAGGCAAACAAAAGCTTGAAGACAACGTTGCTCCCAAACCAGATGAAAATGAGAATATTGGAATGAGGACAAGGTCAAAGCAGAAGTAGTAGAAATATAGTTTCTTTTTAGGTGCTACAGTTAATTGATGTATTAACCATTTTGCACAAAGGTACGCTTTTCTTTCCTCTCTTGCATCTTAGTCTCCTGTCAAATTATGAATTATGGTAGGTGGATCTTTGATTGGATCAGCCTTCTAATTATTCTTTTTGGTGTATTGCAGAATAGCAGAAGTTGATATTATATACTTGAAAGGAACCAATTTGCCTTGCAGTAACTAAATGCAGACAGTTTTTACTAACTCGTATCTTGTTCAAAGCTTGTAAATGCTTATCCATCCTCTTTCTTTTGGTGTGGGCTTGTTTAGTAGTTGGTTTCTAATATTCCTAGTTTCATAGGGTGGTGTGATAGGTTTTGTTGGGAGTGTCTTGTGTTGCTTTATGGCTGATATGATGACAAAATCGGATAGATTTTGCCGTAGGTGTTTCAAAGTCTAGAGGCATGGTGTGGTGTTGGAAATTGATTCGGGTGGGATGCTTTTGTTTACCCCCGAACAACCCTGAATGACATAGCCAGTGACGAAATATGGTTTGCTTCATTGAGAGCTCATTCAACCCTGAACATATAAACTTGTGATTTTATTTGAGTTGATCATGCTGTGTTGTTTTTTTGTTTCTATTTTATGCTGGAAAGAACAAAACACAAGATGACTCTTTGATTGAAGGCGGCAGTTTCATTTGTCAGGTATGAAAGGTATTACATTTTAGACATCATAAACTTTTGCAATTCGGTGTTAGGGTTGAAATATACATGTTTAATGGTGTGATGGAGATGTCTCATTTTCTTTGTCTATTTTTTTTTAAGAATGTTTCAAAATTATTATTTTTTAACTTCTAATATTTTTACTTTTTAATATTTTAAAATTATATGTTGTTTTTTTTTATTTTTTTTTTTTTAACATTAAAAATTATGAAATTTTAATTTTATAAAAAAATTAATTTTAATATTAAAAATATTAAAGTAAAATTTTTTTTAAAATTCCGTGAAAATCAATACGGTTTAAACATTTTGGAACGAAAGTGTAAATAATTATGGTGTTGGATTGGGACTCATGAATTATTTCAAAAGATAAAGATTTGCCCAAATTGTGTGTTCTCTACGCTTATTAAAAGGATTGGATTGATCCATGTAAAAAAAAAAAAGAGTTGGCCTAGATTCGAACCACAACAATTCAATACGCTTTGTTTTTCTAGCCAAAACTATAATTCAAAAATTAATTAATGCAATAATTTCTCCGGACGAGTCTGCCAAAAATTCCAAATTTTCTTAGATAATTATAATTTTCAATGTATCGGAATTTATTAGATTAATTATTATTATTGTATTTAATATAAATACTATTATCAATAATAAGTTTTTTTAAATTTATTTAAAAAATATAACAATAATAAGTAGTATTAAATTGAATTTTGTTATTTTAAGAGCACAGACTGGCTGAGGTTAAATTTGATAAAGGCAGCAAGAGTATCCACGTCCGCTTGAGCCACCATCTGCAGCCTGCAAATCTAAACTTTAAACTTTCCATTTTGTTGACCAAAGAGAAAATATAGTATGGGAAGACTGAAGAGACGCAGAAAGGAAAGATAAAAAAAATAAACAATTTTATTGGCAGAGAAAAAAGAGAGAGAAAATGGAGAGCAGCGCCGTTCTGGCTAGTCTCCAGCCAAATTACCTTCTTTGCCCTTCTTCTTGCTCTTCCTTCTCCACTTCCGCCTTCGCAGCCGCCACATTTCTTCCTCTTTCCTCCTCTCAACGCACGGGTATCTCTCCGCCACAATTTCTTAAGGTAGCTTCACTTCTTCTTGCGTATTTGGGTTTGGTTATTTACTCATGCGTTTCTTTTGCAGTTACGGAAGCAAGTTTTAGCTTCTGCTTCGTGCAGCAATGTTAATGAAGCTAACTCTCCTTTCAAGATTGCTGCTGTGTTATCTGATTCTTATAGGTACGCACTCTTTTTGTTTTACTCTAAAGATTTAAAAATTGAAATTACATGATCAAATTGCATTACATTTGTTCAATTCATTGCTTTCTTTGTTTATTTATCTTCAATTTAGGCTCATTTTCAGTAACTTTTTGTTGTTTTTGAATTTTTTTAGTCAAAGAACTTTTTTTTCCGAAGTTTTAATTTTTCTATATAAAGTGTAAGAAAAGATAGCATTAGCAGCTGTGTTTGTTGTTTGCTTTGTTTGGAAGATCCATCTATTATTAATCATTAAGGTTTTCTATGGTTATTTCTTTTTTTTTTTTCAACTTATTTTTTTGCTTATGAAGAAAAAGAAGTACTGCAAAATTGCATTTTGATACAAAAGGGAATGACATTTTTCTTTAATTAAAAATATTTTTGAATAACTGTGTTTGAATTATTGTCTCATTTTAACTATTTGTTTAGTTTCTTTTTTCTATGAATTATTAGTTTCTTACTTTATGGCAAATTTTTCATAAAACAAAAAGCATATAGCTATTAGCTAAAGCAACAATAAAGGAAAGACTAAAATTAGATTCTTTCTTTTGGTAAAAAGCTAAAAAAGAAAAAGTACATAAATAAAATAGATTTAGACTTCATTTTGGTTGACACTTTTGCATGAATAAAAAGGTAACAATTGGGTACTTATGGAATAGGCTTTTAAAATTTAAAATTTATGATTTGCAAAAACTTATGGCTATGCTTCTATATGCTTTCATTTACTTGTTTTTTGTTGGCTTAATAAAATTTGCATTTTGCTCTATTTGCCGTTGCTTTTCCTTTATAACAGAGCAGATTGCTTGCAAATGGAGCCTTGAAGCTAATTATCAATGCAATCAGAATTCATCCAGTAATTTGGAAATTTACATAACTAGAGAAGCCAAGAGAAATGCTAAAATTTAGGCTAATAAGAAGTGAAATTTAGTTTCTTTTTTAGTATGAAAGAAATGATTTTTTTTTGTGTTAAAAAGCTTCTGTATCCTCAGTATGATTGCTGTTCCTTCCATCCTAAATCTCTTCTAAAGGTGGAGACATTTAAAAAATAGTTCAACAGAGAAAACTTTTTTATTTTCTTGTGTTCTTGAAAAGTTCTCTGCTATAGGTAACATATTATGATATTATTAAATTTCATTTGTTATTTTGCTTCGTTCGATCCTAAATGGTGGTATTTTTGTTCTTTTGTGCATTTGACTCACTTGTATTTAATGCAGCACTGAAGCATCCGAATTAACTGATATAGAGTGAGACAATCTTGGATTTGGGTTTCTTCCTACTGATTATATGCATATGATGAAATCTACAAAAGGTGGAAACTTCTGTAGATGTGAATTACAAAGGTTTGGAAATGTTGAATTAAACCCTCAGCTGGGGTCTTAAATTATTGACAGGTCTGATTTCTTAACTTTCATATCTAAATTTTATCTTCCGCTCTTGCTTTAGATTTCATTCTCCTACTTATCCATTATGGTTATGATGGTTTCTTTGCTGTATTCATGCATCTATTTTTATTTGCAGATGCTTACAAATTTAGTTAGTTATATACCTATATTATGTAACATGACCTCCTTCACCACCTCCCTCTAAAAAGAAAAGAAAGAGATAGTTCATCATGTGTGATATCTGCTCTAAGATAATTTGCTGTTTATTTTTCTGTGTAAAACTTATTTTTTTCCAATTTGTCTTTAAGCATCATGATATAGTGGTTCTCTTTTCTATCTCTTCCGCCATCATTTTCTCGTTTGTGTCTTTAGGGATTATTTGAAGGTCTGAAAGCCTACAGGAAAGAAGATGGTAATATTCTTCTTTTTCGTCCTGGGGAGAATGCTTTTTGAATGGGGCTGGGTGCAGAGATGATACGCATGCCATCACCCACTGTTGAGCAGTTTGTGGAAGCTGTAAAGGAAACTGTCCTGGCAAACAAACGTTGGGTAACTAATAACCTTGATTTAAAGCATGAGTTTGGTTAGCAATTGGCTTTACCTGTTTTATGAGTGAATTGTTAATTTCTCATTTCGGGTTCCCCCGCCAGGTAAAGGGACCTTGTATATCAGGCCATTGCTCATGTGGAATGGAGCTGTCCTTGGTGTTTCACCTGCTCCTGAGTAAACATTTCTTATTTATGTCTCACCTGTGGGAAACTATTTTAAGGTTTATTATCTTCGTTGCTTGATTTTTAGTCATGCATAAGCATAATTAAATTTCCTTTTCTTTGGCCAAGCAAGAGGGATATGTTACCTCTATAATTTGTTTTAAGGTTCTTATATATATATATATAACCATGAAAAGGCTTAAAGTTATATCTCTATACATAAACTTGGAGGAAAATATTAGCATGACTTTGTATGCAAAGTAACTTTATCCTGAAACTAGTATAACAAATCCAAATAGAAAAATGAAGTGCTGTTTTATGTGGAATATTTTCCGACGTGCGTATCCATGTTGAGCCATAGACTGGTTTACCATTAGGTATCATAATTTTACATTCCAATATTTCAGAAACATTCTGTTGGCCTTATGTTTATAACTGCCAAATTAGTGCTCAATAAAGATGGTTTTTTCTTTGATCCGTTTGAGATAAGCAACTGTTTGTGATTGTGCTCTGTTAAGTCTAAAATCCTTCTCCCTCTACCATGTTCTTACTTTAATGAAGGTTCATACTATCAATCTATTAGCTTTCTGTTTGGAGGTGTAATCGTTTGCATTTGTGTTCTTTTTTCCCTTTTTGGCCAAACATTTGCATTAGGTTTACTCTTTGGTATTCCTTCTGTTTCCTTGTTTTGATAGTTTTGGCAAACCATCATATGATAATTATTCATTCACCATAATTTATATATGATTCCAGGAAGGTGTTGCTCCAATAAATTTAATTGTTGAGCATGAATTGCATCGGGCCACTCCTGGTGGCACTGGCAGTGTTAAAGCTATCGGAAATTATGCTGCGGTAAGCTAGCCTTCTGCTGCTTAGTGAATCGTTTCACCAATTTATTTGCCTCAGACGGTTGAAAGTTTTTGATAGTGAAACAATGAAACTGATTAAATTTTCTACTTTGATGCTGTCTCTTTATATCATATAAGTAGGTTCTGAAGGCGCAATCTGCTGCCAAAGCCAAAGGATGTTCTGATGTACTTTATCTTGATTGTGTTCACAAAAAGTATTTGGAGGAAGTTTCTTCCTGCAACATTTTCATGGTGAAGGTATCATGGTTAACTTATTTGTTGGTAATTAATATATATATTTTTATCATCAAGCTTTGTTTGCATTATTCATTTTATCACAAGTAGAAGCAGTGCTAAACATCAATCTCCTTTAAGCAGGATATTGCCCCTACCTTTCTGCATTTTCCCCCTCTTTGAAAATCTTGTTCAATGTGTTCCACATATATGTGTCTTAATATTGAAACTTCATAACTATGCTTTTTCAGTGGACCGTGTTCTGTTACCATGATCTCCTTTCTTTATCTTCAACCTGAATGTTAACATTATGCACTAGAATCAAAAACAAGGCTTCCACCCTTGTAGTTTTTCGGTGGCACTCAACTGCAAATTGAGGCTACCATCTTTGCCATATTGTCTTGACTTTAACTGAATAACTCTTACATATAGCTCTGGCACTACAGCCACTCATTATAAATTTTACTTTTACTATGATGTAGCTATTTAGAATCCATCTTTGTTAAATCTAGTATCTCTAAATACTTGTGTAGTTTGGTCAATCTGTAAGGCTATTTTGTTTAATCTAATTACAATAAAATATTTATGCTTAAATGATTTCAATTAAACATCTGGAAGCTATTCTGTTTCTAAGGATAAAATGCTGTCGAAGAGTTTATATTTCTGAGTTAAATTAGGCTTGTTTTAGATCTTTCTGTACTCAACTGTGGTTGATGAGCTAAAACATATTGAGATAGCATAGTTGATCCCAATGTGTCGCTTTTTTTTTAACTTATTTTTTGTGTTTTTAGGGCAATGTCATTTCTACTCCTGCGATAATGGGAACAATCTTACCAGGCATCACAAGAAAGAGTATAATTGATGTTGCTCGAAGCCAAGGGTTCCAGGTACTTGTTCTGCAGTTTAGAAGACTGTTGATAAATTCATTGTCAAAAGCAATGCTACGTGTATCCAGCAATGTATATAATTGGAGTTGGACTTATTTTTATGCTAGCATAGAAGCTCTTGTCTCCTAAATATTAGAGTTTCAAGTTATCAGACTCTTGTAGGATAAAGTGGGCTTTACAAAAGCCCTATTCTTTGACAATGGACAGCAATTGAGATTCTTTTCATACTTTTGCCTGGAGTCCTTGCATTGTCTTTCAGACTTGTTGCTGAAATAATAGAGTTATAAATAACAAGCACATATTCTTTGTAGCCTGCATATAAGAGTTCCTAGACATCAATGATTCAGGAATCAAATTATGAACAGGGTTTTTATCGGAGTCCTATGGTTCTAAATTCACATGATATCATGGAGTATGTCTAGGATTTGGTATCTGCAATGTGGATAGAAGTCTTGGTGTTTCTTGACTAATTTTGCTTATGAAAGAATGCCTCAGAGTGGTTTCCATCCCTTTGTTTTTCTTCTTTATCACTTAGAATTACTTTTTAATGATAGAGGCTTGCAGATCTTAGAACTTGGAGAAAACAGGAAAATGACATCGAGCTATTTTCTTGTTAATAAAGTTTTTCACCTGTCTATATATTCTGAATGTGTTGCTAGGTATTCTACAATACTCTACGATGCAGCCACTGTTTTCTCCTTTTATACGCATGGTTTCCTCTCGATTGAGTTAATAAATTTTGTCAAATTTCATATTGTATGACATAATAATTGTAGCTTGTCTGCATCAGTGAGAGTATGTGATGGAGCTCCTTGGATTACTTCCTAATGTTCATCTGCTGATCATGCAAGTTGAGGAGCGCCTTGTGCCAGTAGATGAATTGCTTGATGCCGACGAAGTGTTTTGCACTGGGACAGCGGTAGTAGTGTCACCTGTTGGCAGCATTACTTATAAGGGTAAAAGGTAAATTCACTGTGCAGACGAGTAAATACTTTTTGCTTAACCTTATAACTTTAGTTCTTCATATTCAGTTTACATCTTCCATTTTTACTATTGTCTCTTATTGTGGGAGATGGAGATGGTAGGCGTGAAGCATTTATTAGTTACTTTTGCATGGGGCTATTATTTTAGTAAAATAGGATTTTAACATTCCAATTGTATGGAAAATTTCGAGTGGTTTTAGTTGAGCTTAACTTTTAGATGTACATTGAGTGGAGGAAAAAAGATGATATTTGTTCCACAGTGCATAACAGGTTTGCATGTTTTGACTTCTGCAGAGACATCACTGCCTCAGTTAAAATGCGTTCTTCCTTCTTTACTAATATATAGTTTTATATTAACAGATGGGTTGTCAGGTCAGAGCAGGTCATGTCTAATACTGCCCATAACATCTCTAGCTATTAAGTAGAAAACTACTAATTCGTTAATTCTTCCTTTCATTCATGTGTTGTGTTAAAAAACTACCCAAACATGCTCTTATGAGAGTTATTTGTCCATGGCTTCCTGTTAATTTGTGATGAACGATTGAAGATGGTGTTTCAAATCAATTGGCAGATAAGCTGAAACACAGACAAAAGCCTAAGATGTTTCAACATTTTCCCTTAGTATTAATTTATTAATTTTCTTTTGAAAAAACAATGGAAGTTCCACCAGGGTTTCTAGAATTGTTACAAGAACGCTTTGGCTTGTGGAAACGGTCTGAATAAAATACTACAATTTAATATTAAATTAATCAAAATTGCATGACAGCCATGTATACCAATATTGAAACTTCTAAAGTTACTAACCAAGAATCTGTCGTTTATCCGCAAATTTCGTCTTTTCTTTGCTCTTTTGACCTCTTAAACATGTCTTTAATATCTTCCAATTCAGCTTCACTTAACAGCAGCAGCAAAAAGAGAGAAACAGCGTTGCTGACTTGCATTTCAGGTTCTCATGGAGGAGAAAAGGCCAAGCACGGGAAAGTTTCAATCATTTCATACTTTAAGGGGAGATTTGTTGTCGCAGTGATCAATTCCAGAAGTATCGCCCTTCTTGACTACAAGGCTTGACTATCGACTGCATAGAGTCAGTCAACGTTTTTCATGTTTTGCATGACATGGTATCGAATATCATGCATGGGCTACAGATAATATGATGATCGATTAATCGATCAGTTTATTATATCAGTTTTCAAAAATTTTAGTTTAAATTGTTCTCGCATTTAAATCATAAATTAAAGCATTAAACTTTAAATTCCTTGAGGTTACAGTAATTAGGTTTGAAAAACAAGGTGCATGTATTTACATTTATAACATTGATGATAAAGTCTTTCACATGTTTCTTGGCCACTCAAACCAAGCCATCCCTGTATATATGTTTCTAGACGTCGATCATAATTTTCAAAACCATTGTTTGGTTTTCTCCACAAACATCTTTTTCACTTCATTTTTTTATATTTTAATTCAGAGAGTGAAGTGTTTTTCATTAGGGTTTCCAATCGTTTGGAAACATATTGCAAATATGGCAACAAAATATAATTAAGAAACCTTTACTGTGCCGGGTCGACAGCACATGCCATATGTTGAATAGAACAAAAGTCTTACATTATTCGGCATGGAAAAAAATGAATTTAAAACTATAAGATAAATTGAGAAGTAATTTATTTGATTCAAATTCTGGTGTTGGAATTCGTAACGTCCTCCTCAATTGTAGCCAAGGCTGAAAATGGGTAAAAAATTCTACTAGTTCAAAATTCAATAGAGAACCTTCCTGTTGCTGAAATCTTCCACATATGTTATTCTTTATTTCGTATTTTTCTTCTTATGAAAGTCCAGAATTTTCGAGTTTCAAATTAGGTGAAAAAACTGTGTTCATTGAAATGGAGGAGAAAAGCTTTGAAAGAGTTCATGCTGGTTATGGACTGAGCCAAACGTTGATTGAAATTATTTCTAGGGTGTGAACTGAATAATGCATGGAAGATCTTGTTTGGCAATACATGGGAAAGAAGAAAAAAGGAAGTTATTGAGTTGGAAGTAGAAGGGTCTTCTATCATGAGATTCAATTCAATGGCTTCCTCAAATGATCATGAGAGAGGAACAAAGAAAAAAAATTTATTTATCACTCTTTTTTAATCCTTTCATTCCTTATCGTAAATAGGAATCCAATAAAGAGATAGTAATATATAGCCTTCTTCCTTTTCATTAATTTCTTCCAATTTTTTATTGTTTTTTTATAAATAGAGATCGAACCTTAGGGAATAATGGCAAAAGAATTGCAAATCCTGTGAATTATTGAACTCCAACTTTACCAAAATTTACTTCTTAAAAAAGATGAATGAATTATTCAAGTTATTTATTTCTCTCTTACAGAAACCATATATGTAATGTAAAATTATTACCTAGCTAGATAATAAGTTAATAACCTTGAATGAACAAATACAAGAACAAAATGGCGTGATCATTATCTCATCATTATGAGATGATTTTATCTCATGATCACCTAATCAACGCAAGTGGCTTTCCCTATCTTTGGGTTTATTTTAATCAATATATGAACAGCAGCTTCCTCCTAGCAGTAGCTAGTTTCCAATGGTCATCCCCTCCCCCTTTCTGTCTTTTCAAACAATGTCATATTTGCATTAGCCAATGTCGTTAGAAAAACACCTAGAGAAACATAAATAAACTATACAAAGCATCGTTAGAGAAAGATGCCTTGAGGACAAAAAGAAAAGATTTGATCTCGAAGCTGTACAGCTCGAGATGTAGAAAAGACTGTCAAAGACTCTTTCATAGTCTAGCTGGTGTGCTGTGGCCTACCAAGGAGACCATTTCCATTTGATTGCGTGTTGAAAATGTTGGGTACTTTAACTTTAATCACTTGTTTTATTTTTTTATATAATTTACTTAGTAATAGTAGTAGAGGTAAAAAGTAGTATTAACATTTCAAGGCTTTAGCCAATGTAACCAAAGGATTAAAAATCAACAAAGAAATCAAACCACATGTAAAAAAGAAGATTCAACATCAATTTTTTAAGTATATTGTCATATTTTGACTTTCCTCATTATCTTAGATAAGATCTCAAGTCAAGTCATTCATCTTTTACGAGTTGATAAGGTTTTTTTTTTTTTTTTTTCTTTGCATTTATGTCGGCCTCTCTTTCTGATTGCTTTTAAGAATTCATAATTAAGAAATCTTATTATATATTTCTCAGTCTCATAAGTTATGTGTGATTTGATTATTTTACAGTTATTAATATTTTAAATATTTTATAAAATTAATTTTTTATAAAATTATATTGAAAACTTCCTATTCAAGGCTTTTAAAAAGTATTTTTGTCATATTTTAATTAGTAATATATTTAAAATAAATGAAGTCATGATTGAAAAAGTTTAACACTTGAAAGTTAAATTAAAACATTATTTATGGAACAATAGAGTAATGGGTAGTGGGGAAGTCCATACTTTGTATTCCAAATTAGTAAGACTAATTGGAGGCTAAGTATAATTAAGATTTTTTAACTTTGAACTTTGAATTGAGATAAGTGAAAAGATACAAACGATTAGAATTTTCTTATTTGAATAGTAAACTCCAAAGAAAATTGAAGAAAAAAGAACAAAAAAATTAATTCATCCATTAATTTACAGTTCCTCTTTAGGTTCATTTTCTTTTCTATTTCTCTTAATTAAAATGTGAAGAGAAATGAACAAACTAACAATTTAGTTTCATATTAATTTTATACTAACTGTTTTATAAAATTTTGGTTAATTTGTGAAGTTAGTTCGAATATTATAAAATCTCAAATCAAAGAATTTGAGTTTGAATTATTCAAAAATTGATAAAATTGTTTTGAATGAAAAATTATAAAAAATTCAAATTAATAAATATAAAATTAAAGATTTCAAATTTAAATCTTAATCATATTTGAAAAATAATTTTAAAATATTTAAAGGGCATATAATGAACTAAGGCTTAGAATTTGGAAATTGTGGACAATTGTGAATAAGAAGGTGAGGCTACAAAATTTGGAAATGTAAAATGCATAAGGAAACAAGGTCAGTTTCGTGACGCAATTGACATATGATCGTGGGCTTCCTCCCTCGTTCCCTTGCTTCCGCTACTTTGTTTATATCAGTTCTTTTTTGCAATTAGGACCCAATTTGATCATTGGTCAATTTGTTTGTGGTAAATTCAAACCGTCGGCTAGAGTTTTTCCTGTTCAAGATCATGGTAATTAATTTTCTTCTTGTTTGGCCTTTAATATAGCCACTTAAACTAACAGAATGCCCCTTAAATTCTACGTTCTCGTGGTATTTTGACAATTTCAACCATTCTAGATCACTTTTTTTTTTTACCTATGTTATTTCCCTTTTAAGACCAGAAAAATAGCCTGGATAAATTTAATTTGTTCTAAGTTTAATTAGGGCATGTGACCTATTAATAACATTTTTATCTCATCTTTGAATATACAAGTGGTAAATTTAGACGGTCAAAGCATATATCGGTTCAACTTTAACCTATCCTAGAAAAATAGAAAGAAAAAAAAAAACCAAAAAGAAAAAAAATAAATCACAAGAGGCAAATCCAGCCAAATTCTCTCTTTTTTGTTCCCCAAAAATAAACTTCCACATTAATTTTCTTTTATTACTATAAAAGAAAGCGAATTCAAGTATGCTATTTAAACAAATAAAATATATATACTTATCATTTAATTAAATATTAAATAAAAAAATCACATTAATTAATTAACTAATTAATTAATACACATATGTATATACGTAATGTTGTTTGGAAACAAGTTACAAGTTAATGATATATAACTAGAAACTAATTATAGAGTCATATAAACCTTGATCATTAAATGCTGGAAATTAAACAGAATGATAAATAGTTAATTCTAAAGATAAATAAAATGAGAAGAGGAGGCCCAACAAAAAAAAAAAAAAAAAACTCATGAATCCAATTAGTATAAAGTCACAGCAGCTCTTATTTAGTCCACAGTCAACAGCGATTGGTCTCTTCCAAATTTGTTCTAAAACAATGACGTTTATTTCTTACATAATAAATTAAGTAATGAGCTACTGAGGAAGGCACATATGTGTATAGCTGAGGAACAATTCAACCCATTTGATTTGATCATCTCCTTCGCTTGGTCCACTAATTCCACATGATCATCGCCATCATATTGCAAGAGCAGCCTTTGATCATGTGTCAAAGGTGCAACAGAGAAGAGAGAGAGTCAAATTATGGAGATGGCTGATCAAAATAAGCAAATGATAAAGAATTATATAAATAAATGAATTTAGATTATATCATACAGATTCGGGGGGTAGCAGGACAATAAGAAAAATCCTGGTCTTCTGTTCTGGCACTTTCAATTTCTTCAATATTTTATGCATAAAGTTTAATCTTTTTTCTCATTCCCCTTTTGAAATCCTGGGGGAGACAGTTCTATATATCACCAAGTCTGTCTTCCTCTGGCCATTATAGTCTCCCTTTCTTTTCTTCTTTTGGTGTGTGTGTATATATATATATAAAACTGTATTTATATAACCACTCTCATTGTTGTCAAGTGACAAGAAAATAGAGGCTAACTATCAAACTCTCTCTCACTCTCTCAACTCAACAAACATAAAACATGGGGAGATCTCCTTGCTGTGACAAAGCTAACGTGAAGAGAGGTCCATGGTCGCCGGAGGAAGATGCCAAGCTTAAGGCTTATATAGAGGCAAACGGTACTGGTGGCAACTGGATCGCCTTGCCTCAGAAGATAGGTTAGCTAATTAAAGTTGAATTTAACCTTTCCACTTCTTAGATCACTATATTCAATTCTCTTTTAGTTAAGCTAAGTTTAAATTTATCTTTACCGTTTTCAGGGCTTAAGAGATGTGGCAAGAGCTGTCGTCTTAGATGGTTGAATTATCTTCGACCCAACATTAAGCATGGAGGGTTCTCAGAAGAAGAGGATAACATAATCTGCAGCCTTTACATAAACATTGGAAGCAGGTAACCTTAATATGATAATGATCTTTTCTCGTTAATATTAACATAATTCAAGCTCTAATTTATATGTTTCTTTTGAATGCACAGATGGTCTATAATTGCAGCACAACTGCCAGGGAGAACTGACAATGATATTAAGAACTACTGGAACACAAGGCTCAAAAAGAAACTCCTGGGCAAACAGCGAAAAGAGCAACAAGCTCGGAGAGCTAGCTGCCTCATCCTTAAGCAAGAGATGAAGAGAGAAAGTGAGAATTATATGCTTCCTGGAATGGCGAGCCAAGTCCCATACTGGCCACAGCTACCAGCAGTCATGCCCCTAACATGCACAAACCAAGATCCTCATCTCAATGACCAAGAGTCCATCAGGAATTTGCTTATCAAACTAGGTGGAAGATTCTCAGAAGATCATCCACAATCAAGCATCACCACCTCGAATCCCATGAATTTTCAATACCATCTTGATGTTTCCTTTGCTCAAGATCAGCTATATGAGAATTCCATGAACATGCTTTCATCTGAATCTTCCATTAGTCCCATAAACAGCACTTGTTCTCAAGTGACAAACAGTACCCACTTTAATGTTAACGAAACTGCTGGTCCTAATGATATGTTTCAAGGGCTTGATGGTTTCCCAGCTGAGCTAAGTGAGCTGATCTACCGCAACAATGAACAGATATTGGATGGGTTAGAAGGTTTTTATGGAACGAACAATATGGTCGATGGCAGCAGTACTGGGACTAGTTCCGTAGAAAGTAGCAGTTGGGGAGACATAAATTCACTAGGCTATCCTCAAATTGTCTCTGGATTTGAAGTTTGCCAACAACAAAGCATGCCACAAGTTTCTACCTTTGATGAATCAAGCTACTTCGGGCCACAATAACATCAGCACTGTATACATGGGTGGTGTAAATTTGTACCAATTAGGGAATTAATTTGGTGTCAGAGAATTTCAGAAAATCTCCTAATGAATTCATGCAGGATTGCTTTTTTGTTTTGTACTTCCACTTTCATAAAGCTATTTACTTTCTTCTCAAAATCAGTTAATTATATTTATCTATATCAGCAACTTTTCTCTTCTGGGTTCTCTTTAGCTTTTAACTTTCTAGACTTGATTGCTTTGTTCAATGATACTGAATGTGGAATCCTGATCCTTTAGATATGCCGTTGAGTCCAAATCTACTTTGCACTTTGAATTCAGTCTCATATTTGGAACATCAATATGCTTTTATATATTGAATTTCTGTTCTCCTGGATGAGCACTGTCTGAGGAACTTAATGGTATATTTCTTAATTAAACTGCAGAAAAGTATACCTTTTTTTTTTCTAACACATGGATCGAATTGCATCTGCCATAAAGCCCCGGCCCTCCTAGGCATCCATGAAAAGGCATATTAGTAAAGTTGTAAAGGTGTTTTGACCTTTTGGCCTCAACTTCCTAGGCACTAGCAAATTGGGTATCTGACTGTGGCTGCATTCTTTTATTGTTATCTTCATGTCTGCAATTAAAACATTTGGAAGCTTTGAACGCACATGTTTTCAGTCCATGTCATATAGTCCTTCGAAATAGAAATAATAAGGTGAACTTGATCAAGTTACCAGGCCAGTAGTACTTTCTACACTATTTTTCTCTGTCTGGTGGGTCGATCAAGCATCTGCTTGATTATAACAGAATATCTACTGTCCTATCCTATCTCAATAAAACCAGCCATTCACTTGGATTATTACATTGTTTTTCTAAAACTTTCTTTATAAGATTTATCTTGTCTCGTTTGCTTGATATTGGTTAAACATAAAATATCATATATAGCTGGACTAACAAAATTTCTTATATTCTATCAATTATAAACCCTTAAGACCCAAGAGAGTTAGTTTAGTTGGTAAAGAAATGAGGTTTTTCATTTTTTTTTTTCAATCAGGTTTGATTTTTGGGGAGCATTTCAGGAATAAAATCCTACGTGTACCAGAGAGTTATGAGTAAGTCCATCATTTAAATCATGCAAAAAAAAAAAAAGATGGAGGTAATTGAAAATACCCCTAATCATATTATAAAAAAAATTATATATACCTTAAGACGTGGAAGAGATTTAGCAATCACCCATGAGTTCCTCCACTTCTTCATTTATGGCATGGATTTTAATTAATAAGAAAGAATTAAAATGGGAAAGTAATCATCCACAATATTCTAAACATAAACGATACTCACAGGTTCAGGCAATATAGCTTTTGCTTATCTCTCTGATGTATTCAAAACGATTATTTATTTCCAAACAGTTACTCCCACTAAGTTAAAAAGATTATAAACATTTGAAACATGTCTCTTGTTCGTATTCTTAAGGCAGATTACGTACGTAGTTGAGAGAGATGAGATGCTTCCCACGATATTCATGGAGAACATTGATTCAGCATTTTAAAAAAATATTCTAGCTCTTCCCCCTACTGAATATAGTAACTGTTTTCATCATTTCTCGTTGCGTTAACTTGATTTCTCTCTTTTGATCTTAGTGAAAAGTGGCAATTGATTGCATTACTTCCTTGGTTGGGAGCAAAATCTGAAGCTGAATCTTTTCGTACATTAATCAACTGTTTATCTTACAAATATAATATATAGACTTTGGATGCTCTAATGAGATAAAGCATTAAGCATGCATGCACTTTCTTTTCATCATTTTTAATGGTCATCCATCATTATTCACTCATCAAGAGAAAGAGACAGATGGGAAAAAGGGTAATCTATAATGGGATTTTCTTTTATTTTTTTTTCTTCAAAACAAGGCTAATTAGTGTTGTCATGAAATGAATTTCCCAATTATGTTAGATATATGGGAGAATATTCTAGGAGGAAAGAGACAATGGTAGGGAAAAAGAAAACAAAAATTATGAAACCATAGATTTGTGTTTTATGGGTCTATGCTCTTTAAAAGATAAAGGAAGTAGCACTAGGCTAAACAAAATTGACCTGGTTCTTTTGTAGTCTAGGCAGCATTCAAGATTTAGGTATTTTTTAAGTCAATCATGCATATCACTTTCAATGTTTAGCAATCAGGTAGCCATAAAAAGAAGAAATTGAGGAGAAAAAAAAAAAAAAGGAAATTCTCATTATAGTAATTATCTTTTCTCATAATAAACTTATATATTGCTCACCTGGCTCCAAATATCATTGTTGAATGTTTGATATAGACCAATGCTATATCGTTCATGAGATTTTATTTTGGTTGCTTTTTACTCATTCAACGCAACGCTCTACCTATCTAATTTTAACAACTTGTGATTTAGGTTTCATAAGCATTGATCTCATAAAGTCAGTGGCATCTAAACCATGATGTCATGAAAATTTCGTCCTGGTTGAATGCGAATATGCTTTACGAAAATGAAATTTACACAATACATATATGGTACAAAATTAATGAAAGTAAACTTTCGGAAACCTACCAAGTAAAAATCCATCAAAACCAAGACACGACTCTGTCCTTTCCAAAAAACCAGGCATTGCTATTATTATTTGAATTATTCTTTCACAAACTAAAGTAATGCAAACATCAATCAAATCTTTATCAAAGACCAGGTGCTTACTTTGATGTCAAAACCGGACGGACTCAATCAATTGATAATTGATTTTACACGCAGCTCTTGCAAATTGGATGAAATTGTTATTAGTTTAGCTTTATAATCTTGACTTTCCTCTTGATTTTGTTGGTAGGCCAAGATAAATATAGTAACTTTTAAATATTAAATTAGAATTGGTTGACATAATTCGAAGAAACTGTTGGTTAATTTTGTCCATATATGTAGAAATCATGAAGTCTACTTGCAAAGGCCAATTCTCAAATCAATCATTCAGTGCAAAACCATTTGAAGCTTTTCTGTTTTTTTAAGTTAAATATACATGGCTTTGTCAACATGTTGAGTTGTTTCCATCTAATCCTTATTTTTACATTAAAACATTGATATTAATTTGTACTATTTAATCACAAGGTGGTTTGAAATCTTAATTCTACATATGACTAATGGACTAATGCATTTTGCCATATGTCAATTCCATTACAATATTTTATTTAATTCATATTACTTTTTTACTTACAATTAAAATTAACATACATGCACAATGTAATAGTATAAGATATCTTATGGAGTTATTTCAAAAATATGTATATCTTATGGTGACATTGCATTCAACCAACGTGTATTGGATGATAATCCACTCATTAATCATACTTGACATTTATATTTTGGAGCTAGCTAAAAGAAATCAATATTTAATTGTTCCAAAAATTCACAACAACGTGCATATTTCATGAAAATAGGTCTCTTTTGTAAAATAATAATAATAAAGAAAGTGGGTGTCAATGTAAAACAAGAGAAAGCAGATTAAGGTAATGCATGGATACATATTAAATATTTTAGTACAACGATCTTTGCCAATTAGTTACAAAGATATGTATCACAATTGAAATGGACAGCCAGAATTCTCATCCACATTATTTCCCAACATTAATTGTTAGTATAATAAGGGTTACTTGTATCCATGAATTAAACATAATTTTAATAAACTATGGAAGCATTAAAGGAAAAACTCCAAAACCAGAGAAAGAAGTAGTAGTAGTAGTAGTAGTAGTAGTCTACGTAATTTCCAGGAAGCTTCCTAAAGGTAACTTAATTATTTCTATCTAATTCAAAAAAGTTTGTTAACAAAATTAAGGATATTATACATGTAAGCAATGACATCAATGAATGAGAACATCTATTTGGACTGAACAACAATAATGGACTGCATACATGGCACTAGCCGTCTCTTACCATATTGTCAAATGGTTTCAAATTTAATCTAGATTATGTTGTGCAACTGTCAAACTATTCAATTCCCTTCAACAATCCATGGCACCAAGTTTTTGAGAAGAAACTCAAACTTAGCACTCCCATCCCCTCTTGATTTTCTAGTCAAATGAATCACAATTTGGTGTCCTAATAAAGAAATTTTAGAAAATTTAGAGTGGTAGATCACTAATGTCAATGTCTATCTAGTGGACTGCAGCTAATTAAATATTAACATTAAAAATGTTCTTCAATATTGCTAGAAAATATTATCACTAATCCTAACAACATGCTATTAGCAATCATTTTACTTTTCCCTTAATTATGTAATTAGTTCTCAAATCATATTTTTTTATGAAATTATCAAGATCTAAATTTTGATTAATGAAATTAAGTATTTAATACTTTATTAACAAACTCATTTTGGTGTATGGGGAAAAAGTGGGTAAGTGCCAAAGCTTACAAATTAAAAAAAAAAAAAATGGTTAAGTGAAAGGAATAATCCTTTAGAAGAAGAAGCAAAACAGAAACAATCTCTAAAGATAGAACCAAAAGTTTTAACTATAGTTTTTAAGGGCACATTCTGTCAATCCCATGACCATATATATAATATATAATATACAATATATATATATATATATTTAACTCTAAATGAAACCTTGAATGAAGGCTTAAGGTCACCCAAGAAGCGACAAAAGCCTCCCGACGACATTCTTTTATGCTTTATGGTATTTTAATTTGGATTAAATTCTAATAAAATAATCAATCCCACTTATCTATTTTAGTATACTTAGTGCTGTGGACACTCACTAACACGAAAACAATATAGTATACAATTTTTTAAAAATTCTCAATTGTTTCTGATCTTCAAAGTTAGCAAATTTGTTTTTATTATATTAAAGATTTTGATTGTTTCCTTGTGAAAATGGATCTCTCTGTTTATTTTTTTTCCTTGAAGAAGTTGGTTGATTTTTGTAATCTATACAGCAATATTATAAAAAATAATGACAATTGGCTAATAAAAACGTGGTCTGATTTTTAGTTTCAATAGACATTGTTAAATTCTGATAATATCAAATACCAAAAAAAAAAAAAACAGTTGATGCAATAAATTCAAGAATACTTAAAATTTCTGTTCAAATTGGCAATCGAAAAAAGATACTAATTCCTGAAGAGCAAGCAAAAAGCCAAAATTCAGTGTGCAAATGAGAGATGAGTGAGCATGGCATGGATGTTTGTGTCTAGAATTTAAGCTTCCAAATGTCGTTGTTGCTTTAAAGTTACCTTGAGAGTAGATTTTAGAGCATTGTTGTTTGTCCCCAAAACAAAAAGAAAGGAAATATTCCAGGAACATGATTAACAAAGGAAGCTGAATCTGAAACAACAAAAGCAATGCTTCAAATCCCGAATCTGATCTTCCTTGGGGTTCAACATATCATTTTTCCTTTTCC